ATATACATACATATTTTGCAAAAAAATATGATTCACCAATAAATCGAATGCTAAATAAACTTTGTTGAATATTTAGGTGTCTCAGTTCACTTATAGTTACAGGGACAAGTTCCTCTCATTTTTTAACGATCCTGACGTACCTCAGTTTTAGGCGATTTTTCGCATCTCATCCGAATCACATGAAGTGTCCATCAAACTGTTGAGAATATTGTGGATCGCTTTCTGTTCAATTTCTGTACAAATGTATAGAAATTCCGAGATACGAACGTAAGGCGAAAAATTAAAAACAGTTATAACTTCGGTCTCACATGAGACGTCATCTCATTTATCATTATTCATCTCATCACTCGTTATTAAAACCCTACATTATTTTAATGTAGGGGATTTAATAACGAGTGAGATACATGGAGGTTAATAGGCAATGGCAGAATGTGGGGCTCTATGGTGTAAAGGTATGACACTTCGGATCTATCGAAGAAGTACAGGTTTCGAGTATTTTTGGGTCCCCTATTTTTGCTAATTTGCCTATTACTCCTCCTAAAGTTCTCAATACACTCACCTCCAAATTCCAACCTCAATGTTATTAATTTACATATCTTATTTATCGATCATTCAAACTAACTACCAATGTTCCTTCCTTACATTATATCCCACAGAAAGTGATAATAGTACTGAAAGAGTCAAAGTGATGCGTGTGGTATTAAATCCTTTATCAATTTGTTAGTAGATAAGCATCACCACCTGTGCCACAAATTGTGGCCCACAATATGTGTCAGCTTTATCAATAATTAACTTGTTTTATGCATTATGCAAGGCCTGACTCAAATTACAAAGGCAGGAAACAACTATGATTTATCGTGTGGAACATAATTTGGCTCTTATATGTACAGCCGTAGCATTTGTAACAGTTCAAGGTGTAAAAACGTTAGCGAATATGTCTGGGTTGGAAGTCAGATTGTTACCGTGACAATACAGAGCATGTACTGCTTAAAAATGAAATAGTTTGACCTTCAATTGCTCCAAAACGGGTTGGAATTTCGGCTCCAAATTTTAAGCATAGTGACACGTGTCCTTGAACTGAGTTGTGTAAAAAAAATCAGCTCTCTAGTTTCAAAAATGACCCCACAGTTGACCTCAGAGCAGGAGAGTGTCACAAAAACACTTTCCAAACTCCCTGAAAAGTTTTACGGCGGTGCAGAAAAATTTTCTTTTTAGGTGTCCGAAGCCAAAAAAATCCATGGGACTTATATCGGGGGATTTAATGGGTATTTCTTTGTTCTAGAAAATTGTAATTTCAAGTCTATCTTTTTTATCCTTGGCGTACTGTTCACCCAACCGAGCGGTATACGGTGACGCTGCGTCGTGATGAACTATCACCGTCCGAGTATCCTTGCCGTCGAGTTGAGGAATTTCAAGCTCTCAAGGTGGTTTAAATATGAAGTCTATATAGTACTTCGTAGTTACCTTCACTTTTAGAGGAATTTTGATAAGTGGGAGGACCCCACGACCACACAATGCACCAACCGCCATGAACTTTTTGCAAAAGTTTTCCTTGTGCGGGATGGCCAACTTCGGGAATTATTTTCGTCCTTTGTAGTGTAGGAAACTATTCGTTGATCATTGGTATATTTTAGAGAAAATAGTGCCTCATCTAGTGACACAAAAAATTAACTTTTATTTTTTGTCAGAAAATTCCTATAAAAGTTTTCGCAGGTCCGGCGACGATTTTTTTAATGTTTCTCCGTGAGCTGATAAACTCGGAATTTTTTTCTTGTCTTCTACCTTAAGATTGTAATTGATCATTGCACACTATTCAGTGACACCTTGGCTGTTCATGCCACTTCCGTAAGGGGTGGTGGATTGTCCTTAGAGATCTGTGGGTCAATTTTCTTGAGCACGGCCCGATTTGGCACTTTTCGGGCGCGTCTTCAAGGTGGTGGTGATCGTCCTTTACTACGAGCTGCTCGTTTTTGACCTTTATTTTTGAATAAATTATGTATTACTCCTCATGAAGGTTTTCGTCCTTGATCTCTGAAGTACTAAATCATATTTTTATACGCGTACTTAAGTTTGGAAAGTGTTTTTATGGCACCGATCTGTTCTGAGGTCCACTGAGGGGTGATTTTTGAAACTAGAGAGCTGATTTTTTTACACAACTCAGTTCAAGGACACATGTCACTACGCTTAAAATTTGGAACCAAAATTCCAACCCGTTTTGGAGCAATTGAAGGTCAAACTATTTCATGCTCTGTATTGTCACGGTAACAATCTGACTTCCAACCCAGACATATTCGCGAACGTTTTTACACCTTGAACTATTTGAACTATTAAACTATTTCATTTTTAAGCAGTACATGCTCTGTAAAGATTATTACACTCAAAACAATCTGGTAACAAAATCAGCGTAATTTATCTTACTCAATTTATCTTGAGTTGGTCAATATCAGTTGTTCCAAGAGACTTTTGCGTAGCGATTTAAAGTCACTAGAATTATGTCATATTATACTACCCAACGGAATATTTTTAACCGGTTAGTTCATTTGCATTGTTGCACAACACTTAGCAAGCCATGGATAATAAGCATATATGACAAACTTACTTAAACATAAAAACAAGCCGGCAATGTACATAAGGGGTATCTTTTTGAAATTATTGGTTTTATCTACAATATTATGTTTATTACTGAATTATTTAGCAAATGATAAATATTATAAACGCAGTGGTCGAAAAAGTACATGAAACTCAGCAAAAATAAAAACATGACAGTTGTTTGGACTCCACAATCTTTTATCTACCTTAGCCATATACTTTACCTAAATTATGCAATCAGAGAACGACGTTATAAGATCGATAATTATATGAGACTGGTCTTCCTATTAGACGAAGGCCTAGCCATTTTTTTAGTTTCACATTCACCTGCATCCCCCTAACTATGTAGGTCCACATTTTTAAACTATCTACTCGCTTAATACCACAAATTACATGATTTCAGTAATACAAAATTTGTATACCACCAGAGGTGTCAACGCATCTACAAAATTGTCACCAAACTCTATTCGTATCGGACTCGTGGCCATCAACCTTTTCTGGTCTTCCTTTCTCAAGAAGTTTATCCTTTCTCTAACTATAAACTCCTTACCATACCTGTGCACCTTCATTCATTTTGCTGAAATGAAGTGCGAAGGAAGGCTTCATTCATTCAAAATGAATGAAGAAGAATGAAAGTCTTGCCACACACTTTGAATGAAGCCTTCCTTCACTTTCATCCCTATTTTAAATACATGGGGTGAATGGAAATGAAGGGCGCATGAAGCGAATTTAAGAAAAAATGAAGGAGTGTGATTGAAGGCCTTTAGAAATGAAAGTTAATGAATGAAGGATGAATGAGGGAAAGAATTTGTGTACATGTATGCTCCTTACTGATGTTTTTTGTTTCAGCACAAATTGAAAGGGACGACATTGTTGTGGGGAATACTATAGTATGTGTAGTTATTAGTATAGTGACTCAAAATATGTATGATACTAAATTCATTTTAAAAGTCACTTTTTACTTTTATATATTTTTGTAATGTACTGCTGTCCACTTTCTTTCTTTTTCTCCACTTTTATTTAACTGATAGATTTAACTGTTCTAATTTTTAAATTCCACCTTATGCAAACTTTTACTATTTTCTCCTTAAAGTAAACAAAACTTGCCAGGAAAATACAAGCCCCGTATATGTAAAATAAAGTTTTAATTTGGTTCAAACCAATTGCCATCCCTTCCCTCGCTAAGTCCACGGAATTGCTTTCTTTCTTTTCTAGAACTGCTGTTTAGTAATAGTTTGTGTAATTTTCTTCTCTTGGCTCTTAAGGCGACTGATAATTTTAATCATTCCATTTTCTAAATCAGAATTTGAAAATTTTACTTGATGATATCTATTTCTTGAATCGTTTAAGTTTTCCACAAGGAAATTAAATTGTAGTTGAATATTTATATTTTGTAGGTAGGTGGAATATATTTCCAAATATTTGTATGATATTTGTATGATAAATCTATTATAAGAAAATTGGATGGAGCATTATTTCATTCTGTTGAGGAATGAAGTTAGGTTTGCAATTTTGTTCGGTTGACCGAAGTAGATACTAATTGATTTCATATTTTTAAGATTAGTAAAACCCCAAACCCAATTAATTTTTTTCGGAACATTTTGAAATTAAAAAAAGCTTGGCGAATTTACTCTTTATAAGTCTGCACAAAATCTAGAATTCAACGGTAAGAGAACGAAAAGTAATATTGCTGTTTAAAAATGCTTTAGCTGCCTCTAAAAAAAAGTTTATATAAACGTTACTTAATGTTGTTTAAAAATAAAAGGTAGGTTTTCATCACTTTTGAATAATTAATTTGCTTAACATCTGGTTCAAAATAATTGTACAAGCTTTATCATCCAGGGTTTTTGAAATATTTAACATTTAAAATATTACTGTACAGTTTTTTCTAACCCTGCATGTCACATTGCGTCACAAAGTTTTTATATTTAAGTTGCATAATATACGTGTTCGGTTATTTTAAGCACATTTAGAAATTAGACTTTAAAAAGCAAAAAAAAAAGATTTAGATATAGGGTTTTAAAATATAACTTGAGTATCGCTTCTTAAGTAATTATATAAGTAAGTATATATTTTCCCAGCCCTTTTTAGAAGGTTCCATAAGGGTCGGACCTCCTAACAGTGATTTTTCAAAATTAAGCAATTACTACTACAATAAAGGGTATTGTGTAAGCGTAGCGTTTTATAACATTACAAACAAGCTAAACAAATTGGTGAGCAATATACATACTTTAGTATACTAATCAAACAAATTCCCTGTTCCCACGTCACATCTTCGGATGTTTCTCGTAATTAATTCAGCAGTTTATATAACTGATAAGGAAAATTTAATGTGATAACAAACCACACCATACCGAAAATACTTATGTCCATCGTAGAATGATTGGATCCACTTGAGCCTGCAATAAAACCAGAGGAGATTCGTCCATTTGCAACACACACGATTTATCATCGAGATCCATCACTTGGCACAATATAGAATACAAAAATGCTCCCGTCCATTAGCATTTCAACCATTCTTTTGGCATACCCTTTCTATGAAGTCTGTTTGGCACGTCCACAGTTGGAAATTGGTGAATATATCATTTTAACATAAAAAATTTGTGTAGAATTTTTTTTGAAAAAAGGCAGTGATGTTGTCAAATGGATAATATTATACAAATTTTAATATATAGATCCCAGCCTACTGCTGATCAGTCTTGGGTCCGTTGAAGGCAAAACCTTCTTCTACCACGATAGCTCAATGGTATAATTAACTAAGTAGAATGACTTTTATCTTGTAACATGTGCTTTACATAATAATGCTCAAAATCGAGGCATGGGCTGCTGCCAAGGTGTATTGTCAAGATTTTGGGATGCGTCTAGGAAGAATTTCTTCGCAGGCGCAGATGACTTTTCTTGTTGGGAAGAATAACATTACTGGATTTGGAGGTAAGTTAGATATGGGTAGAGCAACATCAGATGAGAATTAAACAGGAAAACTGTGTCAATAAGCAAAATTCGGTACAGTACGGCCATCTATCTAAGCCATAATAGTAACAATATTTGTATAATTATCTTAGATAAATATTTATTTTCAAGATTGATATGGCAGAGGTACATATATTTGTAATCACAATATTTGCGTAATTATTTTTTCGTTAGGGCTATATCACTGGACGGCTGGAAGGGATGCAATGACCATGAATCAATTTCTTTGGGATGACCAGTTGGGTCCAGTTAGTAGTTATGGGCAATCTGTCTCGTTTAGTACACCACTAACATGTCTTGCGTGGGTAACGAGACCCTCGTCAGGGGCTTGGTTAAGCAGTAGTTGCAGGGCGTCTGCCCATGTGCTATGTGAGACTTTCTAACGTTTCTTCTAATATTATGAAATACACTGTGTCCCAAAAGTATCTGCGCATCACTCGCGCGCGCGGTTATCTATGAATAAATAAATATGTACACATGTAAATCTTCAACACAAATTTGTTAATTTATCATAATTAAACATCAATATTATCAACCAATTGGCCAAAAGATATGACATATTTACAATTGTTTTATTATATATATCCAAGCTTTACATCATCCAGGTTACTGCGTCATTCTCAATAAACAGTATTTCGCAATTCCGTATATATAACAAGTCGACCAACACTACGGACTCACTTTTAATAACCTGCGTCATTTTAGCCACTCCATCTCACACAACCTACGCATAAATGCATCCTGTCCATCGTTCCATATCGATGATTTAGGTGCTTTAATTAATTAATTAATTAATTATCTAACCATTAATCAGTAAACCAGACTATCTATTAGTCATTCACCAATTATTCTGTAACCATTACGGATAACAAAACGTCCGTTAATTTTAGGTACATTTTTCCACTCCGATTACACATAAAGAGTTAGTAGTACTAACTTAGTACATAGCAAATAAATCTTTAAAAACCAATCGACACAAGCACAATTAACCAGGCAATCTTTTCAACAAATTAAGTCAGAATATTGCTTCGACTCTTTTCCTTCGCAATCTGCCTCTACATTTCGTCTGATTTTGTTCAGGAAATAACCTTCTACACAGAATTGGACCATTCAGGAAACGCGCATTGATTCCAAAGTAAAGAACCGGGTCTTACGGAACCCCTCTTCTTCTTAAGAGATGTTAAATCATGGTGTTTCAGAGGAATGTAAGGAGTGTGCTTATATGTACATTAGAAAGTTTAAGAGCCCGTTAGTTAACTTAGTGCCTGTCACGTCACGCGCATAAAAATACATTGACACATATTTAATCATTTCCCACATTTGGAAATACATGTACATACATCTGCATATGCAAATACATGTTTAACAGTATTTGAAACAAGACAACTGAAACTAGGGAAATAGTATGTGAAACTGTCATATTAACTAAAATTCCTCTGAAGTCATTGTCATTGGTGGGCTTTCCACATTTATTTATTTTGATTACATGTGGGGGATGAAGTCCTCCACCACGACGGGGGCGTGCCTCTGAGGGATGAAGTCCTCGTACGCCGTATGTACAAGTGTGGATGACTCGGTGCGTGCTTCAGGGGGTGCGCCGGGATCAGAATAAAGCGTGTGTAATTGTGAATCTCTGGTTTACATGTATTATGTAGGAAAAGTGTGTGGATTTATTCACTCACGAAAGATTCGTATATTGTACAATGACTGGATTATTGGAAAAAGAGAACAATAATTTGGGGAGCGATGCAAACTCCAGAAACTTTGGAAGATGTGGCTGAGGGCCGGACTTGGTGTGGAGTAGTTCTCTCGACGAGGAGCGGATGTCCACTACTCAAGATGGAGGGCGGCATGGCATTATATCTGCCACGAAGAGAGAGAGAAGGGAGAGGAATGAGGAAGAAGAAGGTGACATTGGGGAGTGTCGATAAAGAGGGACGACTGGAAGTTTCCCTCATACAGTACGATTTTTCAAGTTTTAATTGCAACTCAACTTACTTAACCCAAAGGTATATGCTGATGGCTTAGACAGCTGTATGACTGTGTGATTGCAGTAAAGGTCAGAGTAATTTTTCGTCCACGCTTAAACAACGAGTCTAGAGCTAAATAAAAACCTTATACATGAACAGTTTGGAAAATTCGATCTAACATGAAAAAAAGTTCTTATTCCATTTTTGGAAGCAAAACTATCTCATCACTCGTTACATTTTTACAGTTGGTATCAGTGGGACTAATTACACCAATTCGACGACATTCGGAAACTTCGTTGGTGATGGGGTATTGAGATGTGTGACTTCTACATTCCCTCCAACAATGTCTTTGAGATATGCAGGATTTCTGGACACGGAAACACCTTCCATCTCGATTTATAGCGGTATTCAAAACAATCCAGCAGGAGGGATTGAACGCACTTTTACCAATTTAGCCCACTCCAATTTCGGTTTTCTCCCAACATACATGGTTATTACTGGCAGATCCAGTTGGACTGGGTTTGTCAATGAAGATTTTACTGACAACTTTACCTGCTTCTCGACATCGGAATTAATGAAAGCGGTAACTATAGAGACTGAGATAAGGTCTATAATTCAAGGGTGTAATGGCATAGTTTAGAGCTTAATTTTTTCTTTGTATAAAAGTCCGGCTTTAAATAAATTATATCCACATCTTATGTATTCTTTGAGGAAAATATATTTTTATAGAAATTACATATGCGTAAAATAACCTGTGAAACCAACCCACCTACACATAGGCTTATCATGTCATGTTGATGAGGGCTGCAGGCCGTATATTAATAAATATTATACTATACACATAGGCATATGGCTAGTGTGCAAAAATGTGACCAATGTACAGTGCATTTTAACATATATCCAACTTTCGGAATAAAGAAAAGGAAGGAGGGCAAAGTTCATATGTTATCACCACAAAAGGTTGAAAATAGTTGCGCAATGTCATGGCCGCTGTACCCGCAATTGAATAATTGGTGCCCCAGGTATTGCAAACTATGAAGCATTTTCATAGCTATATTTACTATAACCTCGCGTGTAGGTAAATCAAAAATTGATCTATCCATCGTAGATATAGGCTGCTAGCGTTACAAATAATGTTATTGAGGTTTGTTCTGACTTGAACGAATGAGCAGATGACAGCTGTCCACATTCGTCGAACGATTGCTAAGCGTAGTGTGAATGATAAACGAATTCGACTATACAAGGTATTCCAATCCTTAGTAAAGTAACTACCGATAAAATGTGTACACTCGTAACAAATGATTAAGGCAGCCAACAACAGGATGGTCCCGCACAAGACAAAAATGTCTTTCATAGATTCGAATGAAACAGGGTCGGACTCGTGGAAGGTTACTGGGTCCCTCACATTGTACATAACCTTTGAAAAATATTTTTTATAGTTCGAACTGTTATGTCCACGCATGTCTTTTAGAATAGAATACAAGTCATACAATTCATTCCATCTCTTGGCCAAACCTGAAGATAGTAATAACCCCATTGGTTTAACAAATATTGGGAGCAGATAGTTCGCATTTCCCACAGCTAATCTGATATCGACAAATGGGGTGTCTTCCTTAGCCTTAATTATTAAACGCGAGTCGCTCCATTTCAAGGCACCATAGCAATATTTAAGATCTTCTGAATCGTCCATTACGGCAAATATTGATTTGGTGTCTAATATCTCGTGTTCATATTGAATTGACTTGAATTGTGTAACATTCCGGATGAAGGATTGCCAAAGTTTGTAACTAAAAAAAATCGGAACAAACATAATTTTTTTACTCAGGTGATTTAACATGTCAATGTAGTTGGGCTGTTTGTTGAATAACTCCAAGTATGCTGGGATCAATAAGGACCTCAGCGTAGAAAAAGGGGACAGGTTCGCGGATTCATCAAAATGGAATGATGCCATCGTGATGATACGAATTTCTGAATCCTTAACCAACATTTGAAATGTGGGTGGGACCTTTGGAGCCTGTATGGCAGTCATAAATGAGAAAATTGACCCTGTGTACAAATTATCTATGATTGTATAACCACCTCCCAGGAACCAGATAGTGAGCATTATTTTAGCCAGCCATTTCTTATTTCCAAACATTTTCAAAGTGGTCCCACTCACTTGGCCGAAGAGTATTGAAGTCACGTTTAAAAAATCCTGAACCATATTTTCAGAAACTTTCCATGCGTTTTTCTCAACACGTGCACATGCACATATAAGCGTAATGGTCACACAACATAGGAATAAAGTTGTCCACACAGTGGTGCTAAAAGGTGCCATAAATGCCTCAATTCCACCAAGCACTGTCGGCAATGGTACAACAAACACAAATTGCACTGGATAAAATCTGACGTTGTAAATTCCGAATCTATACGACTTTTTAGAAGTATCCTTCATCGTTTGCGTAGTATCGAAGAATGTGTATAGATATGAAGTGGTGAGATTTCTAGTAACCAGGGTAAAATTGAAAGTTTTAGATAGCGAGATGATTGTGCATAAGTCATGGAATAAATTTTTGGATGAATCAATTATTGCATCGTCACAGTGGTCGGGAGGACTTGATTCGCCGTAGAGGTTAATGGCTATATCGCGTCGATGCAGATTAGTATTAAGAGATGACCATAAACGGCGAATTTTGGGTAGGGATAAATTCGTCGAAAAAATATTTACAGATTACGTGTGGTAACATGCAATGCAAGGAATAAATATTTTACTTGAGATCTGAAAGTTGAACAAGATTAGGACCCCCGATCCTTGGCGTAGATGATATGCGTCATAATTTGAAACACTTTGGGGATCATCCGTGTGCTGAAAGAGATATGCAGTGTTGAGATACTTTATCGCGTAATGTTGTAACGCATTAGCAATTGTATAGTCGTCAAAAGTCGTTGTAAAGGTGGAGTGTTGTAGGTGAATAAATGTGATTGGTATCTGCCTTGAAGCTGAGTGATATCCAAGTGGCGTCCAATCGTATCCCACTGTATCGTAGAATGTGGAATTAATATGAAATTGGTTAAGGATTCGTGGCGAATAGGCATTGTGGCGTTGTATTTCGTTTAAATATGGGGAATTTGGGTAAGTCGAAATTGTGCTATCTGGCCAATAAACGAAATTAATTTGACAATGTTCAAAAAAATTTGCTATATTCCATAAACTATTTCCGGAAATTGGAGAGAAAATAAAATGCAACAGAAAAAACAACAGTTTCAGTGTCCGCATGATGTTTGCCAACGTATTTTAATGCTAAGGTTCGTCTAATGGCTTTGCAGGTTATTAAATTATGTCTTCAGGGGGCAAACAATGGATATGATACCATTATCTGCAATAAGTTACACAGGCTAGGGTTCATATATATGACAAATAAGTAGCAGGGTTACAGGATATATACGAACTAAATAACAGGACACACAAAGTGTGCCTGCAAGGAAAACCATGGACGTTGCGCAAGTCTAGCTTTATTACGTCAGTCATTCGTCGATCAAGTTT